TGAAACTGGACAACTACCTGAGAAATGGAACAGCTAAATAGTAGTCCCATATTTAAGAAAGGAAACAGAAAAGAGGCACTTAACTACAGACCTGTGTCTCTGACATTATTGAATGTGCAAAGTTCATGGAGAAGTTTATCAGGAGGTGAGTGGTCGAAAACCTGGAAAGGAACAAGATTATAAATGAAAAACCAGCATGGGTTCATGAAGGCAAATCTGATCACAAACCTTACTGGAGTTTTATGGCCAAGGTAAAGAAGAGTAAGACATGAGAGAGGAGGGTTGGGTAGACTGCGTTTTCCTAGACTGCAGGAAGGCCTTTGACACAGTTCCCCACAGTGAAGATTAGTGCAGGGAAGCTGGAGGATCAGGCACAGTAAAAGGAAGGGCACTGCAATGGATAAGGAATACCGACAGGGGATGGCAGCAACGGTGTCATGGTACGTGAAGAGGTATCACAGTGGGCGCCTGTTACGAGCGTGGTCCCACAGGGGTCAGTTCTAGGACCAGTGCTATTTTTTGATATATTGTGAAACGACATGATGGAAGGTATAGACTCTGAAGTGTCCCCTCGTTCGCAGATTGAGTGTAGTGATGAGAAGAATTAAATCGGACGAGGTGAGCAGGACTGCAAAAGAGACCTGGAGAGGGCTGGACATGTGGTCAGTAACTGGCTTCTCGAATCATCCAGCCCAAATGCAAAGTCAGAGATTGGGGAGGGGCAAAGAAGCCGCAGACAGAGAATATAGGCTAGGTGGACAAAGACTACAGACCTTCACTCAGGGAGAAAGGAAAGACCTTGGGGTGACCATAACACCGAGCCATCACGGCGCACACTCAACCAATAACCGTGCAGGCATACGGCGCCTAGGCAAACCTGGAGAATAGCGCTTCCGATACATTAATAAGGAATCGTTCAAGACACTGTACATGTGTATGTTAGGCCCATAACTGGAGTATGCAGCACCAGTCTGGACCCCACACTGGTCAAGCACGTCAAGAAGTTGTGAGGAAAGTAACAAAGGTTTGCAACAAGGCCTAGTTCCCAGAGCTCCCAGGGGAATGTCGTACGAGGAAAGGTTAAGGGAAATCGGATGACGACACTGGAGGAAAGAAGGGTCAGGGGAGACATGATAACGACATAAAGATATGCGGGGAATAGACAAGGTGAAGAGGACTAGGATGTCCAGAGAGGGGACACAGGGACAATGGGGTCACAACTGGAAGCTGAAGACTCAGTCGAGTCACAGGGAGTTAGATGTTTTCTTCTCAGTCATAGAGTGTAAGCAAGTGGAATAGCCTAGCAAGGAAGTAGTGGAGAGGAACCATACCTAGTTTTTTAAGAAAGAGGTTATGTCAAAGCGACATCGTGGAAGCAGAGTGAGTGAGGATCAGTAGCGATCAGTGAAGGGCGGGGCCACGAGCTGAGTTCTCGACCCCTGCAACCACAATTAGGTGAGTACATTAGGTGAGTTACCACCACAATACACACACAGATAAATTCACATTTGGTCGAAGGACCAGGCCTGAACTACAAAGGGATCTGGACAGGCTGCAGACTGGTCCAGCATTGGCTCTCCTGGAGTTCAATTCACCACAGTGCAAAGTATGGAGATTTGGGAGTGCAAAGAAGTCCGCAGACGGAAGATCAGTAAGGGGGCCAGAGACCTACAAACCTCGCTCAAGGAAAAGAATCATGGGGTGAGTAATCACCAGGCACATCTCCTGATGCGCACTTCAACCATATAAACGCTGCAGCATTGGGCGCCGCCTAGCAAACCTAGAACAGCATTACGACATCCTAAATAATGGAATCGTTCAAGACCCTGTACAGCGTGTACGTTAGGGCCCATATTGGGAGTATGCGGCACAGTTTGGACCCACGCTAGCCAAGACATAAGAAACTAGAGAAGTGCAAAGGTTTGCTAATCAAGACTGTCCCCGAGCTAAAATGGTATGTCCTACGAGGAGAGGTAAAGGAAAAATCTGACTGACGGACATTGGAGGAAGGAGAGATAGGGGGGACATGATAACGACATACAAAACACTGAGAGAATTGACAAGGGGACAAAAAACAGGATTGTTCCAGAGATTGGGTCACAGCAACAGGGGGACACAGTTTGGAAGTTGAGAACACAGATGAATCACAGGGATGTTGAAAAGTATTTCTTCAGCCACAGAGTAGTCAGGAAGTGAATAGTTTGGGAGCGATTGTTGTGGAGGCAGGATCCATACATAGCCTTTAAGCAGAGGTATTCCCCCCCCCCCCCTCATAAAGACTACGGTTCTGGGAGGAGTGACCTAGTAGCGACCAGTGATGAGGCGGGGCCAGGAGCTGAGTCTCGACCCCTGCAACCACAATTAGGTGAGTACACACACACACACACATACACACACACACACACACGACCCGCTCAATATGCAGGCATTATACCAAATAGCTGAACTACACATTATTGACTTGTTATTGCTGGGATATATTAAGCTAGATGTGCTTTTGGAACTCTTATGAACACATACAGTATTCAGTGTATCACCTGTGTCCCGCTTCATAGAGATGTATACCTGTGCTTGAGACAGGTAATTTATTTCGACTACTTTTCTGCTCTACGACCCCGGCCTTTGAGGATTTACTTAGCTTGCTTTGAACTAGAGATTTTGCTGCTCTGACTTACTTTACACTCCTTTCATTTGTAAATGTTGTTTTTCATGTCTGGCACAAGACGGTGTAAACAGTAGAAACATGCAACTGAAACATAGTGGAAAATACACTAGTCTTAGGACGACTTAAGAACCTTCGAGTTCTTCTTAATCAATCGGTTATGTTAAGGTTAAAGAAAAACGTATTAAACTGTAAAATCACATAAAACGCACCTGTGTTAGTAATGAAATCGATCAGTTTATTCATGTTTTTTCTGAGTAATTACAAGAAATAAATTACCTGTAGAGAGACCCTGTGAGTTAATGTCACATTTGCTACTTACTCGTATAGACGGTGGCGTATAAGGAGTTACAAGTGTTACATATTTACCCACAGGTGGAGCTTTAAAAGGTGTATAAAAGGCCTTCTAGTCATCAGGGATAAGTCATTCCTTACCTTCTCCCTGCCTGCCTTACTCTTCCACATCTACAGCAGAAGAGAACTCCACAATGAGGTGAGTGATCCTAATACTTCCAGTTAGCTTTCTCCGTCTTCATTGATTTGTACATGGGAGAGAGAACCAGCACGTGAGCTAATGATCTATTTCTGTCAGAGAGCTGAGGTTAAGTTTGTCTGGTAAAAAGATCTCTGTCACTGCCCTTCATTCATCCCACTTTTCTGTCCGTCTGAAAAATGAGGCAAAACACTTACCCAAGAGCGTGAAATAAACGCTCACAGGTATTTAAAATGAAAGTTAGAAACAGAGATTATTACACTCACAACCTTAATGAATATCGTTACTGTTGCTGCTAGCATCACTACTGATGCTACTACTACTGCTGATACTACTACTACTACTACTACTACTATATACTATACTATTACTACTTAGCTACTACTACTTACTACCACTTCTACTACTACTACTACTACTGCTACCACTACTACTACCATGGTATATGTCTGAGTTAGAATCTGTTTGATACTGAGGTTAGGTTTTTGTTGAATTATCTTCCACGAAATGTTCATCAAGATAGACTATTTTAGTTTGCTGAAAAAAAATTTCAAATCCCATTTGGATAATTTCTAGAAACCTGCACAGTTTCTAAATTTATGCAATACATTAAGTAGCCTTAAGAAACTTGCACATTGATCATGAATTGCGAAATATATTAAGGGAACTTCTTTTCTCATATTAATTTGAATTGCATCCACTACATTAGCCATTTATACGGGAAACTGTTTTTCTGTGGATCCTTCTTCCCTGTGGGCTATGAGGTACAGTATCGTTCATTGAAGGAGATGTAAAACAGTTACTTTAGGTTACATAGGGAAGTAAGTACTTCACGGTACATTAAACACCGACATATGAGGTAAATGTTACGGTTCGGGCTTTCAGTGTTAAATTTGCCGACTCTTCAGTCAGGGAACACCGACCACTTCCACCATTCCACCTCATAACTCTGCGGGGACTTTACACTTACGACTTCTGTAACACTGTGACTTTATTTATCGTTATGGAATCCTTTGGATACGGACGAGAGAGCCTTCAGCTTAAAAAATTACTAAAATTTATACAATTCTCACCTACAGTTAATCAATTTTATACGTAAATTTTAATTTTGTATCATTAGTCAGTCAGCAAGGTTACTATTTTGCAGCATATTAGTTTGTGACCCTTTCTTTTGATTTTTTGTAAAAGCAATTATTTTTTAAAATTATCATCAATAATTTTTCGTAGTTGTCTTATATTATATATATTATATATATATATATATATATTATATATAATATTTAAATATATATTTTATATATTATATATTATATATTATATATATATAATATTTATATACATATACATAAACCATATATATATATTATTATATGTATATGTACCTTGTCCTAAGTTCGTAGAGTTCGCGTCTCCCTTCAGCCAGAGATCAGTGTTCTCTGTGTATATTTCGCATGCTCTCGCGAATTCCTTGCATTATACTATATATATATTTTATATATATATATATATATATATATATTATATATATATTTATATTATATATATATATATATATATATATATATATATATATATATATATATATATATATATATATATATATATAGATATTATATATCGAAATGAGTAGGATGTCCAGCTAGAAGCGTTCAAGATGTGTTTGTGTGTGTGTTTGTCCGATTATCCATCATTGTTATCAGATAATCAATTTTATTCATCACTGTTATCACTTTCTGATTTACTCCAAAACAGGTTACCTTGCAGCTGCTTGGTTTGCATTGCCATAGTGTGTTGTTGGTTCTATGCCACGCCCTGCTGGCAGGCACGACAAAACCATGAAACGATTCGCGAAAGGCCTTACGAGACCCGTTTGATTTTCGCCAGGACTAGTACGCAGCTTATATGTGGGCCTGTTGAGGGAGGAATTAGAATATTTCTTATTGTTAGAAGGATGTGTTCTGAGAGAGAGAGAGAGAGAGGAGGAGATAGAGAGTGGAGAGAGAGAGAGAGAGAGGAGAGCGAGAGAGAGATAGATGAGGAGGGAAGGAGTGGAGAGAGAGAGAGAGAGAGAGGGAGGAGAGAAGGGGAGAGAGATGACGAGGGAGCGATGAGAGAGAGAGAGAAGAGAGAGAGAGCGAGAGAGAGAGATGAGAGAGAGGCTGTATTAGGAGTACTAGGAGCTATTATTTTGATTTGAGCTTTTTAATGAATTTCGCTAGTAAATAAACTGTAAACGAGTAGGAAAAATGCACATACATGTTCAGACAATTGGAAAGCAGGAACGACTCCTTCTGAGTCCGTGTTATTCAATGAAGATCTCTTTTGAATCCCTGTGCAGGCTCAATGTTATTTAGAAACACACCTTTGTGAATCCCTGTTCGCTCTGTTATCCAGGAACATACCGTTGTGAATCCCTGTTTAGACTCAGTGTTATTCATGAACGACACCATGTGAATCCCTCTTCAGAATCATAGTAAATAAAGTAGTTATCGTCAGTAATATCATAAGTTTCTCCTATTGATCAATAATCTTGATTCTTTCTCATCCCTCAAGACTTTTTGTTTTCTACTGTTATCATTGCATTTATGGTGGAGCGCTAAACATAAATGGGGGTTATACAGCCCCTGGGGGAACAGGAGGCATTCTTCTTTAAGAAGAATAAACATGAAAATAATTTCCATTAAGGAAATCCATTAAGGAATTAGACCTACCCTTCCATTTCGTGGCTTTAATTTCATTACCCTTCAGTCCCCAGGCGTTGCAATGACCATTTCGAGGTTAACACTTCTCCCTAATTAATTTAATAATTCAAAGTATTATTGATGAGTAAGACACGTGTTCAAAATGAGGCATCTTTACCGACGAATACTGTCGAACAAAGAGGTGATTACAGTCTTGGAGACAGAAGTGGAGACGTACTTTTGAGGTGATTAGTCCCTTCGGCCCTGATGGAAGATGGTCAAACTCTTGGCTTGATTTAGCATGTGTCTTAATCTACAACTTGCCCTTATTGTGTACAGTATGTATTATCATTTTCTAAGCATTTCTCTTTTAATTGTTTGCAGCAGCGACAGCTGGGACTCAAATAGCAACGACACAAGCAGCAACGAGAGCGATTACAAAAGAATTGATCTGAAAGTCGCCAACAACAACAGGCGTTTCTGGTGGCATCACTCCGGTAGCAGTGAAGAGAGTAACGAGAGTAACAACCGAAGACGTTCATCCACCACATCAACCACAACAACCACCACAACCAAAACAACCGCTGCTGTTGGAAAATAGATATCCTTTGACAAAATAACATGAGATTTCCTATCACTTAAGACAACCAATTTTCACTTGAGACTTCCTTCTTGTCCCTTAAATACATCCTAAATTTCACTTGAAAAGACGTAATTTTCACTTAAGATGACCTTCGTGACTAATAAAAACGACTCACTTTTTCACTTGAAAACATGATATATTTCACTTAAAAATACTTACGTTTCACTTATGACGCCTTGCACATTACCTGGACACTTTCTCCTTCAGGAAAGGTTCTGAAGCTCAGTATTGTAAAGATTAACATATAATAATAACAATAAAAGGTACTGGTGTTATTACCTATAAACAAAAAGAACTCAAAAAAAAAAAAAAAAAAAAAAGATATATACGGGGCAAAAAGAGCGATTAGTGGAGCATCATATCTTTCTGTGTAAAGCTTAATAATGCAAATTTCTTTGCTACTTAGAAATAAATTATTATACTCTGTTGGCTAATAAAGTAATGCATTAAGAAATCTATTTTCTTTAATATACCACAAGACATTCCGTATATGACAAAAATTACCAAGTATACACATGCACACACACACACACACACACACACACACACACACACACACACACACACACACACCACACACACACACACACACACACACACACACACACAACACACACACACACACACACACAACAAAAACAAATAATATAAAAAATATAATACACTAAATCAAATCATCATCAAACTATATATATATATAATATATATATATATATATATATATATATATATATATATATAGAGAGAGAGAGAGAGAGAGAGAGAGAGAGGGAAGAAATATATTTAAAAGAGTTTAAGGTCTTTCGGATTAAAACTTACTTCAGACGCTAGAACTTTCAATGAACCACCTGGATATTAGCCAAGAATTCATCCAGTCAGGTGGAAAAGGATGCAGCATACTTTCTTCAAGGTATTGAGAGTTAGAAGCTCGATCCTCAGTTCATAGCTCGACATCCAGGGAATCGGAGCCACTCCCTCTCTTTCTTTAGCAGGGGAATCGGAGGGGGGGGGAGATTTAAACCTGATTACCTCCTAATTCCCAGGCGCTATATGACCCGTAGAGGTTTAGCGCTTACCTCCTAATAAGACAGCTATAATCCTTAACTCCTAATTCCCACAGTGTGGGTTTAGATCTGGAGGATCTTGTTTTCAGTTTGGTATCTTTTTCATCATAACATGACTGAAAACCAGCCGTAGGCTGGAGGAGAATTATATTTTATTAAGGTAACATTTCTACTTACTTCCACCAGCGGATTCTCCCTGTTCACATATATAAAACACCGTTCCTGCGTTGGGTTCAAGTTCTTCATGTCGGTCAAAGTTATTTTTGATTAATAAGTACCACAACACCAATACGTAGAGCAGGTAGTCTAAAGATCATGACAAGTTACAAAGGTATCCAGGGACTGGTCCGAATTTATAGCCAAGTTTACAAGGTAATGACAGGTGATCTGGTCACAATCATGACCAAGTTACAAAGGTAATAATGAATCATCTACACGTCTATATACGGTTACAATCATGAACAAATTACAAAATAATGAGCCATGTCAACAGTGTGCTCTTTAGACAGGCGATGCTTGATCGAGTCGTGTCGTGAGAGAGGTCAGATCGCACGAGGGTTGCATCTGTGTCCATCTTGCATAGGCGTTTGTCCAGTATGAAATATTTCCCACCAACGTGACCCGGATCTTGGCAAGGTTGACCAGCGTCACGCAGAAACTTCAGGTTTTTTTTTAAACAGAGAAAGATATCGCAGACGATAACAAAACATATTTTTAGAGGAAGTCTCATCTACATTAAAGAATTTGGCTGAGAGATGTAAGGCCATTGATTTCTCTTATAAATATGAAATTAAGGGAGATGTTCAGCTATAAAGCTTCATGTATATCTGTCAATTAATTTATTTTAGATAGAGTCATTATTTATATCCATCACGACTGCCTCTCCGACACTAAGCTAATCTGAAGACAATCTTAAAAAATGAGTGGGAGAGGCGACTCACGGCTCACGGATCCTCCCTCACCCTCCTAATCCCAGACCCACACCTTCCTCTTTCTCTTACTCCTCCTACTGCTCCTTCGATCCTGTTTCTCTTCTGTTCTTCCTCATTTTCTTCTTTCGCCTACCACACTCCGTTTCCTCATTGTTTCCGTTCTTAACAGTGGTGTTGGATTAAATAAATGCATTATATTTATGGCTAAACTAAATATATGTGCCGTACCTTATACACGACGAAGCTGTGAAAAGCCATGTACTCGGACGAAAATAAATATTATTTCTTTTTATATTTTCAAACTGCAGCGGTCGTCACAGCGAGGACAGAAAAGTGGTAGTTCCTGGTATCTTTTGGGTACTGGGAAGACCCAAGGAGGAGTTGGAGCCAGGAAGACCCAGGGAGTCCATCTCCCTCTTATAAAGGGATCCCACATCTCTCTCTCTCCTTAGTCTTGTTGTGTCGCACAACATAACAGGTTGCAGCCAGACGCTCTCCCTCACGCAACATGAGGTAAGTTTTAGGTTAGGTAAAGATTCTAAGAGCAGAACAAGATTTCGTTAAGAAAATACTTTCATCAAAGAAGATTAGTCAAGAAAAGTGTCTGAAGGAATCATGTGTTTTTAGCTTTTTTGTTTTTTAGGGGAGAATGAAGGAAAGGGGTTTCCAATTTACATTATCTTGAAACCAACTGCTAGGCTTCTGACCTACAGTGACGACTTAAAAGCCTTTTAATTTTTAATTTTTATAATCCAGAATATTTTTAGCGTGGTTGCATGGATTCACAGTTTCCACACGAAGCCTTGGGGATAATATTAAGGTTCTGATAATCTCGAATCATATATTGGGAAGATCCTAAAAGAGATACAGTCGGAGTATAGTAAAGTCGGTGTGCTAAAGGAAGTCATTATATTTTATCGTTGTTTTCAAAATTTTCTCTTGCCACTCTTTCCTTAAATATTTTTCGTCATCTATTATTCTCCCACCTTAAATAATTTCCTCACCTTTTCTCCCCTTCTCTCTTTCTTCTTCCTCTCTACCCATTTCCTTGAAGTATCCCAGCTTAGGCTAACAGATTTTAACACCTTGTATAAACCCCCATTCTGCATGATGGAATATGACAGGAAAACACTGTGTAATTATCATGCACAATAGGGTAGCAGCACACTGCTGACTTTTTCAATATTTATTTAATAAAAAAATATCCTTTTTCTCCCCGAAAAATGTTCATTACATAAAAATAAACATCTCAGCTACACTTGGAACAATCCTCTCGCTATATTGCCTAAAAACCCACCTGTCTCATGTCCCTAGACGCATTATTTACCTCTACAATTTTTTGACTACTGCCCACTGGATGGGTATGGTGTGACTGCCGCCCACAGGATGGGTATGGGGGGCATAATAGCATAATAAAGATATTAAACTAAAAAGTCATCCTTTCCAGACTGTCAATAATGCTGCTGGGCCTAGCAGCCCTTGTAGGTGCCACATATGGCACTCTCTTCTCTGACACTCCTTTGGCACCTGGGTTCGCAGAAGATGATGCTAGTGCACAGCAGGCAGCAGCCTCCCGGGTCAAGAGGTAAGTGTAATATGGCTTTGGGACTGACAAGAACATGCCAAGTATAGGCCAGTAGGCCTGCTGTAGCGCTCCTCCTTTCGACATAAATCTTTAGACTATGTTTCGTCCAATCCTGTCCTTAATAACTGTGTGTTATTTGTGTACTAACATATAGTATATTATTTTTGGATAATATTTTACTACCTTTTCCAAAAAAACAGAAGAAAAAAGATCTTTTACTGTTTCCTCGATCAGGATCGATTACCATACAACAGTATCGATAAGGATCGATAACCATACAACAGTATCGATAAGGATCGAATACCATACAACAGTATCGATAAGGATCGATTACCATACAACAGTATCGATAAGGATCGAATACCATACAACAGTATCGATAAGGATCGATCACCATACAACAGTATCGATAAGGATCGATCACCATACAACAGTATCGATAAGGATCGATTACCATACAACAGTATCGATAAGGATCGATTACCATACAACAGTATCGATAAGGATCGATTACCATACAACAGTATCGATAAGGATCGATTACCATACAACAGTATCGATAAGGATCGATTACCATACAACAGTATCGATAAGGATCGAATACCATACAACAGTATCGATAAGGATCGATTACCATACAACAGTATTTTCACGACATTCAGTTTGAACACCAAATATTAGCAAGGATAGATACGAAGACATCCGACAGCAATGAAGAAATTTTGTGGAAACGTTTCGATAAAGCTCTACGTGGAGCGAAACGTTGTGGCAATGAAAGCTTTCTTTGCTCATGTGTGTTCGTTAACAAGGATCTGCTATCGTCGTTAAACGAGGACTTGTAAGCGAAACCTTAAAAGTGTATTTTTAAGCACGTAATATAAGGAGGTAATGTAAGCAGGTAATACAAGTATAAGAAAATAAAATCATCCTGTATGATAGAGTATGACAAGAGGACCATACACCGTGGTAGAGTAGGTGAGAGAAATCTTCCTGTGTGATGGAGTATATCAGGAGAGGTATCCTGTGTGATGGAGTATATCAGGAGAGGTATCCTGTGTGATGGAGTATATCAGGAGAGGTATCCTGTGTGATGGATCATATCAGAGAGGTATCCTGTGTGATGGAGTATATCAGGAGAGGTATCTGTGTGATGGAGATATATCAGGAGAGGTATCCTGTGTGATGGATCATATCAGGAGAGGTATCCTGTGTGATGGAGTATATCAGGAGAGGTATCCTGTGTGATGGAGTATATCAGGAGAGGTATCCTGTGTGATGGATCATATCAGGAGAGGTATCCTGTGTGATGGAGTATATCAGGAGAGGTATCCTGTGTGATGGAGTATATCAGGAGAGGTATCCTGTGTGATGGAGTATATCAGGAGAGGTATCCTGTGTGATGGAGTATATCAGGAGAGTATCCTGTGTGATGGAGTATATCAGGAGAGGTATCCTGTGTGATGGAGTATATCAGGAGAGGTATCCTGTGTGAGGAGTATATCAGGAGAGGTATCCTGTGTGATGGAGTATATACAGGAGAGGTATCCTGTGTGATGGAGTATATCAGGAGAGGTATCCTGTGTGATGGAGTATATCAGGAGAGGTATCCTGTGTGATGGAGTATATCACGAGAGGTATCCTGTGTGATGCAGTATATCAGGAGAGGTATCCTGTGTGATGGTGTATATCAGGAGAGGTATCCTGTGTGATGGAGTATATCAGGAGAGGTATCCTGTGTGATGGAGCATATCAGGAGAGGTATCCTGTGTGATGGAGTATATCAGGAGAGGTATCCTGTGTGATGGAGTATATCAGGAGAGGTATCCTGTGTGATGGAGTATATCAGGAGAGGTATCCTGTGTGATGGAGTATATCAGGAGAGGTATCCTGTGTGATGGAGAATATCAGGAGAGGTATCCTGTGTGATGGAGTATATCAGGAGAGGTATCCTGTGTGATGGAGCATATCAGGAGAGGTATCCTGTGTGATGGAGTATATCAGGAGAGGTATCTTGTGTGATGGAGCATATCAGGAGAGGTATCCTGTGTGATGGAGTATATCAGGAGAGGTATCCTGTGTGATGGAGTATATCAGGAGAGGTATCCTGTGTGATGGAGCATATCAGGAGAGGTATCCTGTGTGATGGAGCATATCAGGAGAGGTATCCTGTGTGATGGAGTATATCAGGAGAGGTATCCTGTGTGATGGAGCATATCAGGAGAGGTATCCTGTGTGATGGAGTATATCAGGAGAGGTATCCTGTGTGATGGAGTATATCAGGAGAGGTATCCTGTGTGATGGAGTATATCAGGAGAGGTATCCTGTGTGATGGAGCATATCAGGAGAGGTATCCTGTGTGATGGAGTATATCAGGAGAGGTATCCTGTGTGATGGAGCATATCAGGAGAGGTATCCTGTGTGATGGAGCATATCAGGAGAGGTATCCTGTGTGATGGAGTATATCAGGAGAGGTATCCTGTGTGATGGAGTATATCAGGAGAGGTATCCTGTGTGATGGAGTATATCAGGAGAGGTATCCTGTGTGATGGAGCATATCAGGAGAGGTATCCTGTGTGATGGAGCATATCAGGAGAGGTATCCTGTGTGATGGAGTATATCAGGAGAGGTATCCTGTGTGATGGAGTATATCAGGAGAGGTATCCTGTGTGATGGATCATATCAGGAGAGGTATCCTGTGTGATGGAGTATATCACGAGAGGTATCCTGTGTGATGCAGTATATCAGGAGAGGTATCCTGTGTGATGGTGTATATCAGGAGAGGTATCCTGTGTGATGGAGTATATCAGGAGAGGTATCCTGTGTGATGGAGCATATCAGGAGAGGTATCCTGTGTGATGGAGTATATCAGGAGAGGTATCCTGTGTGATGGAGTATATCAGGAGAGGTATCCTGTGTGATGGAGTATATCAGGAGAGGTATCCTGTGTGATGGAGTATATCAGGAGAGGTATCCTGTGTGATGGAGAATATCAGGAGAGGTATCCTGTGTGATGGAGTATATCAGGAGAGGTATCCTGTGTGATGGAGCATATCAGGAGAGGTATCCTGTGTGATGGAGTATATCAGGAGAGGTATCCTGTGTGATGGAGCATATCAGGAGAGGTATCCTGTGTGATGGAGTATATCAGGAGAGGTATCCTGTGTGATGGAGTATATCAGGAGAGGTATCCTGTGTGATGGAGCATATCAGGAGAGGTATCCTGTGTGATGGAGCATATCAGGAGAGGTATCCTGTGTGATGGAGTATATCAGGAGAGGTATCCTGTGTGATGGAGCATATCAGGAGAGGTATCCTGTGTGATGGAGTATTTCAGGAGAGGTATCCTGTGTGATGGAGTATATCAGGAGAGGTATCCTGTGTGATGGAGTATATCAGGAGAGGTATCCTGTGTGATGGAGCATATCAGGAGAGGTATCCTGTGTGATGGAGTATATCAGGAGAGGTATCCTGTGTGATGGAGCATATCAGGAGAGGTATCCTGTGTGATGGAGCATATCAGGAGAGGTATCCTGTGTGATGGAGTATATCAGGAGAGGTATCCTGTGTGATGGAGCATATCAGGAGAGGTATCCTGTGTGATGGAGTATATCAGGAGAGGTATCCTGTGTGATGGAGCATATCAGGAGAGGTATCCTGTGTGATGGAGCATATCAGGAGAGGTATCCTGTGTGATGGAGTATATCAGGAGAGGTATCCTGTGTGATGGAGTATATCAGGAGAGGTATCCTGTGAGCTGGTGTAACCAGGAAAACCATCGTGTGTAATGGAGCATGACTGAAAAGTCATCTTGCCAGGAAAACCATTCTACGTGATGCAGTATGCCAGGAAAATCATCCTGCCTGATAGAGCAGAACAGGATTGCCTTCCTGGATGATGGACTATGATAGGAAATCTCTCCTACTTGATGAAATATTACAGAAAAAAACAACTATCTTACATGATATGATGGAACAGGACGGAGTATGAAGACGTATACCAAGAATGTCATTCTACATGCTTGAGAATGACAAGAAAAACATCCTGTGCTGTGTGTACCAAGTGAACACAGCTCTGGTAGAACCTTGAACAATTTTCCCTGCCTCAGGGTAGCCACAAGTGGGGGTATGAAATTTTGGTGGTAATAAAAAATATATATCACTGCTATTTAAAAGACTTATGTGAAGTAATCAAGCATTGAAACTAAGTCACTTTGTCTGTCTTTTTTGGAGGAGAGTTTATCACAGGTAATGTAAACATATGTTACTATGTATGATAATTTGTGTAAGTGTATTTATGTGTACTTGTTCCTAGATAAACTTACTTACGTAAGCTTCGTTATTCCAGTTAATGTATTCTTGCAAATCAATATGAAAATCTTGAACGTCTGTACGATTTTGTTGGAGGATGATATCGTAAGATATTTATATTGTTGTAGAGATGACGATGACGAGGAGGATGATGGGGAGGACGAGGAGGATGAAGATGACGAGGATGACGATGATGATGATGAGGACAAAAAGGATAAAAAGAAGAAGAAGGAAAAGGATGAGGAAGAAGAAGAGAAGAAGAAGAAGAAGCCGAAAGATGATTAA